ATCAGTAACAATAAAGTTACTTAAATAACAACTTTCTTTACACTGCTAACTATACATTTCCATTCGCTCATCAATACTTCTGGATCCTGTAGACCGATTTCGACTTTGAGTGTCGTTGTAGGATATCCGAAGCCATTCTATATTACATATTGTGCCCATTGTGACCATTTGAACGTCGCTATAAACATTATCAAACGGCGTTATTGTGTTAGCCTAATTGACTGCTGGCTTTCTCGTGTTCTGTTTAGGCCTTCGTTTTCGTTCTTGCAGTATAACACATTATTCCAGGTCGCATAGATATGTACAGGATAATAGCTCGTAACAGCTCAGAGTAGTCGCAACCCGTCATCAACGTCAGCTCGAGCGTGCCGTTTGGCGTCAAGTTCAAAGGCCGCTGTCCTTTTTGATTCCAACTGGTGAGTGACTAGACGTGTTCCTTTCGCTTGGTGCTGCAGAACAAGGGAATTTTCGTCTGCTCTTGTCGTATCTGTGTTAACTCGTTCCTTGGCCCGAAGCGAAGGAATGCAATACCATAAAGAATATCTGAGGTGACCGACGCTGTACGAACGACAGCTGTTGTGGTCTCCTCACACAAGGCAATGCCCGCTAATTTTTCGATTGCCGATGATCGTGATCGACGTGATCTAGCTAGCGCATCAGACCAAGCCCTTTTAGATCTCAGTACGGCTTGAGAATCTCCGCTGGCGTAACGATGCCCTCAATGTTGAAGACGTTGTACAGGACTGCAAAGAGTATGCAAGCCACGTAGACTACCAAAGCAGTCCACCAGAGCAAGTGCTCATGGAATTTTCTTTCAAAGTTCCTGAGCATCAGAAGGCCAGCCGTAAGGCCCGCGGAAGCTCCAGCCACGTGCGCGATATAACTAACTGGTAAACCTTGTGGTTCCATGTAGCGGTGGTAGACAGCGAAGCCAACGTCGCTGCCGGCAATGATAACCACGCCGACGACACGCATCCACGCGAACTGCATACATCGGTGGTTTAGTATGACGTTCGCGAGATGCGTCGTGAGCAGGGCGTAGACTCCACCTGATGCTCCGATCAGGTACACCTCTGAATCGAATACAGACGTTGATAGAGATCCAGCGAGCACCCCCGACATATAGATACAGCCAATCCGCCATGATCCGTGAACGAGTTCAAGAGGTAACCCGACGACTAGCTGGACGCTCAGATTGATCAACAGATGCACCCAGCCCGCGTGAAGCAGCATGTACAATAAAAATCGCCAAACCTCGTAGCGCCGATCTGGCCGATAGATAAACGGTGAGTCGATATTAATAGGCGTAATAGGGCCGACCGTCGAGTCATACGCGAACACGAGAAACTGCAAAGAGAGAAACCAAAATTAAAGAAAAAAATTAGCTTTATAAACTAAGTACAGTATACAGCTAATACGACTAATACGATGCTAAATGCTAATTAAATCTAGTATTATAGTAGTATGTACTATAGCGACGCTCGAGAGTTCCAGGTGAAACCATTGAGCTGATGTAACGGTAGACAGTCGAAGGAATCACCTTAGCCATCCGACTGAATGCATCTCTGGGGTCAGACTCTGTACGAAGAGGCGCCACGTACACGTTCGCTTAAATATCACATCGGTTTCTCGTGCTAGACATGAGTAGCGGTGACGGGAACGAAACAAAGCATTCGAGAGAAAGCCATAGCGGCAGCAAACATTATACCCACCCAGTTCGACATCTTGGTGCCTCTGTTATGGAGCACTCTTCCAAGAAGGAACGCAGAGACTTTGGACGGCCGGGAAAAACGGCCGCTGTTACTCGTACCATATAATTAATTAAACGCTCCGAGATTTCCGTCCGAGGCCTTAGTTGCGCATCGTTATATCAAGGAATTACTGCTAATTCTACTTCTGCTGTCGTAAACGGGCATCCATATCATGGTTATGCCTTGAAACAATGTAACATAGAATGACAACAACCGCTAGCAGCAGAGACACTCTTCTCCAGAAGATATCGTCTACAACACAAATGAGATGTCGCGCATCCAGCTCTCAGGGCTATTTGACTTAGATACTCCGTACCTATCTAAATATAGAAAGCTTACTTTGGTGTCGCATGTGCCCATTTATGCCGTGATTATAGTAGTATGCAATACTGCAGTCCGGTATAGCCTGGAAATGTAGCTCGTCAGGTGCGACGAAGCAAGACCTTGCGATCTAATAAAATGTACATATGTCATTCATGTATATATATATATATATATATATATATATATATATATATATATATATAAACAACGACTAGCAAATATTTGCCACCTAAAGATCTCTTAACTATAGAACCGTGCACGTGTATGTATGTAGGCAACCGTGAACCTCTTCACCAGTAATCGGCGGCTTCAACCATTTGTTGCGGTGGCAGGAGCTTCTAATGTTGTTCTTCGACAATCGCTGCAAAAACGGCTAACTAATACTGGCCGATGGTCACCATCGGCCATCGACCGTTGGCACTTTTCACTTCACTTCAACGGTTTGCGTATTACGCTGACGGTGTTGGTCCGTTAATACCAAGATATAACTGGCAGCTGCTGTCAGCTCGGCGATGTCGCTCGACCACGATTACGGCTGTGGTCGCCAAAAATATCATTAGCGCCGTAAGACTTTTTGTTATAACTGGTTGATTCGAACGAACGACAATGCAGATTGCTCGAACTTTGTATAGGTAGTATATGTTCAATAGGTTGATTCATCAACATCGCGAAGCCCGCCGTACAACATCGCCTTTGATAGCATTGGCTTGGCCGAAAATAGTAGCAATGCTAACGATTTGGGCTCATACAAGTGGACACGCGCAAAGCACCCAACTAAACACAATTATTATAACTATTACTGGCAATTTGGGCCATCATTTCTGACCACCGTAGCGCGTCAATGTATCGTACCAAAGTGGATAGCCAAATAATGTTCTCCCACTCATGCGCTGTACAGCATCGAAGTAACGGAGTCTTCTTTTTGTTGTTACGAGCAAGCAAGCGAGGGACATCGGTGTGGCGTCAGACGCGATTTTCTTCGGTTACCACTACCGCAATATTCGCTAGCTAGCTCGCCACTGCGGCTGGCACTTGGTCTATTTTTTGTTTCGTGTCAAATTATATTTATGTACCGAAAAATCTTGAGCGTGTGTCAAACGTTATTTTTTTGTCAACGACAGCAAATAATCTACCCGTTTGATGGTTTACATCGTGTCATTGAGCGGACACACAGAAAGAATGTTTATTATTTTCAAGAAATGTGCCTCACTGCTGCATTTGCCCTACATTTGTCTCTGATACTTCATCGGTTAGTACCACTGCATCTGCAACCAAAACTCACCGCCATATCAAGCACCGAAACTATAGTAGGGTAGATAAATTAAACTCGTTGATCATCTCAGCATGAAATCACCGAAACGAACTCCGTATATTCTCCTGCCCAAGCGTATCTGCGCAAACAGCTGTTGCTCCCTTGCGCGTGTATGTCTATCGGTCCGTCTGTCACGTTTGTCTAACCTCCTCCGAGCCGCCCCCGCTTACTCGCACAGACGCCAGACAGCGTCCGACCATTGGCAAGAACCAGGGTGACATTCAAGAGTGCTATAGCGATATAGCATCACTGCCACTCTTCATTAGTGTGACACGCACCAGGCAGACATGCGTAACTCGGTCGGCGAAGCCGGGCAAGCACGTCCGTGCCACTGCTGCCCCATTGCCGAGTGGAAATTTTCCTGAGTGTGAAGTTGTTGTGACTCGTATAAAACGCTTCATATGGCAGTGTTTCCTTCAATGTGCCTTCCTGCGCCCTGTCCCATAGCCTAGAAGTGCCCGTGGCGATACTGGTAGCACGAATTAATTCGCATGCTTGCTTACTTAGCTACTATAATTATTATGACTCCTTCTATTTCGACCGTCACTACTACGATCGTAATATCAAAGTCACGTGAACACCAGTTCACCATTACGCTGCCCATACACAAACATCATCAACAAATCATAAGCAACAGACCCAGTACATTCTGTCGACCGTATGTGTGTGTCTTTCGAGCTAACACCTCTTCGGCAGCAACGGTGTTGGACCTGTTCGACTACTTCGTTTTTGTTGAAAGTTGTTGCTCCCGCTTCCTAATAGTTCCACCATATCCACTATCATTAACAACCGTAATAGCATAGTAGTAGTGAGCGTATAGCTATTTTTCCCATCGAAAGTATTATCGTCTCTGCCGCCTTTGCACCGGCAGACGACAACGACGACCACAACAACAATACAACAACGTGATCGTTTCCGCTGACGTTAACGCTCTTCGGAACGAATCGGACCCATTCTCGCCATTACGGCGACAGCTGTTGTTTTCCTCTTGTTGGTGGAGCCGCGTTGTTTTGATCAGAGAAGTGGATGCTGGCGGTGTCGCCAGCGTCAGCGGCAACGTTAAAAGCTTCACAGTGGCGTGGGGTGGCCGTTCAGAGGTAGTAGTAGCAACAGCAGTCGCTCGTAGCGAAGCTGCTGCTAAGATGTGCTGTGCTGGCCTACTTTGATTTTTTCAAACCCAGATCGGGCGGCGGTGGCGGCGTCGGCGAACGGACGAGCCGAGCTCTGCCAACGACACGCCAGCGTCGCTTAAACCAGTAGCAGCAGCGGCACTGAGAGAGTTAGCAACATCAGGCGCTTTTTGCTACATCGATCCGATCCAGCCAAGCGGACTATGGCAGCGTAGCGTTGGTTATGTTAGTAACATGGCCACTTATTCCAGCAGCGCGAGACGTAACAGTCTCAGGAGCATCATCAAGGCCCGCTGTGATAGTGCAGTAGCGGAAAGCTGTGCCAGGAAAAGCAAGCTGGGCAACGCCAATCTGAGTAGACACTGTGCACGCGGTGACGGCGGGGGAGATACCAGCGGGAATAACAGTATCACCAACAAGGGCAGCAATCTGCGCGCCAGCCAAAATCTACATGCAAGCCACCTCAGATATCTTGGTCTATTTCTCCACCGGACCATGACTTGGTATAGAATCGGGTGGCTTTCATTCCCAACGATCTACCTTAAATTGCCGTAGAACAACGATAGCGTAACAAACAGTCATATCAGATAGCCGCGATAGCTATATATATATATATATATATATATATATATATATACGCGCGCCTAATTAAAATCAAACGAGATCAACAAACTGGATTTACAGTTAGCGTGAGTAAGAACGCCGGGTGCGTCGATCAGCATCAAACGTCGTGCATGTATGATAAAACCGAAACATATACACAAGCTACGATGATATTGAGTGCGCTAAATAGATTCATTATTAATAAAGTCGGTGGTTTTGCCGCTTCAGGGTTGGCTTGTGCGCGCTTTTGTGGCCTTTTGACGACGGTAATGTCACAACGCATTTGTCGTGCCAATAACAATTCAAGTATTAGGGGGTTTAATAGTTGGCCATTTTTGATATTTTCGCTATTGTCGCTTGTACCGCTGCGCTTGGGGCTGTGTTAATATTACGGAACAAATATACGTTCGCGTTGCTTGCATGAGTCGTTGTCGTTGAATAAGAGGATAGCAGAAGCTTTGCTGTTCGAGCTTCTTGCCGCTGTTCTCCTACTTTTACTGGCTTTGACGTTGATCGTGCTTCAGTGGGCGCAACCGGCCTTGCGTGGCGGGGGACGCATCAACGGAACACCGACCCGCCATAGCCACAGACACGGACCAATGTGGGGGAGAGGCCACCAGCTGGATAACGTAACCCGCTGGGTCCGTCCGTCCGCCCGCCTACATGTGTCCTCTATTCCTGGTACGTCTGGAGCGCCAAATGGACGAAACCCACCGTGCGTAAATCCACCGCGCGCTACCTTCTAGTAACACTACTACTAGTAATACCTATTTAGTTACGGAAGCAGCATGGCGCCGGCTGGCTGACTCGCCTAGTAGACTTCGTCATCGATTTCGACTGAGGTAATGAACGTAAAATGACATGACACTTTACGTTCGCATAACTAGAATATATGCGTAGGATGACAAACTAGACTGTTCTTCATCAGCTTGGTGCTTTTTACCTCGACCAATGTGACGCAGAAGATGAAGACCGGGGGTGATCGGCACGAGTACTGGTCGGCGAAGAACTTGTCACCGCTGCCGTTGCTCGGCATACAGGTGGAGTGGATGGCATTTGTCGTCGCAGCTTCCTCAAGCGTAACGGAAATTGAAGGAGAAGCTTCAACTTCGATGGTCACAGATTTCTGGTGTTTACTTCCGTTTAGTAACAGAGGCTTCATCGTGTCTCTACGACTACGCACGATGCCGGCCGGTAGAAAAACTGCAACGAGATAGAACGCAATCAAAAAGAAGATAGATAACGTCAGAATATGGCGATTTTGTTATTTTTTTTATACAATATCTAGTGTGCAGTTATGCTATACAACAGTTGTTGACATAAATTGATCCGAATGTAACTTATAAGTATATTAAACAATTATATCGCGTCCGTTCAAGTATCATATAATTGGATAAAACTCGAATGTCGAAAAAAAAATATTTTCTTTTTTCTCAGTTTCTCGGCTGCTAATATAGCGCTTAACACTGAATCGCTTGCCCATTGCATGGCAAAATAGTGTGACCATGCCAGACAAAATCGAATTTTCCGGCGATTTATCTCGCAGTTTCAATTTTTTGTCGGCCGATTCTACCATCATCTAATTTTATTTCCTAATCGCCAAATGACTCCACCTGCTACCCGTCTTATCTAGTTCAGTGACGATGCAGTATCTCTCACATTTACTATCGATCCGTCAACGTTTTGTAAGCGTGTTTATATGTGTATGTACATAAGGTGTGTCTGTTTATCGGTATCGGTGTGTATGTACGTCGTACAAATGCTTTGCTGATCTGTTTTTTATGCATCCGTATATTGAGATCTACTACTTACATTACGATTCGATATATCGATGTGTGTGGTTTTCTGTTTGTATGCGGATGCTGCCGCTATCCAAACGAAGTCCAAGGTCGCGCTACGGGGAGGCATGCCTCGCCCCCGAAGCAAGACACAAGACAGCAGCTCACGGCGGTTGCCGGTTGCTGGACGAACCACTTACTAATCCCTAATGCCGTCTATATCGTAGACACTCCGATTGCTTTTGCTTCTGCTCAAGTTATTGGCTAGCGATTTTCTAGTAACACCGCCAGTTACTACCGTACGAAGCGCCATTATAATAGTACGGCCGATTTTTGCACTAGTGCCAGCTCCGCTCTGCAGCAATGTCCATAGTCCGGCCCCTGCCGTGAAGTCTATTTACGCACATCGTAAGCACTGGACAAAACCGTCTTATTGACTTCTATTGTTGCCATTTGTGCCTAACTAGCAACGGCACAATATTGCCATTACTGTGCGATGCAATGTCTGGCTGTACTACGATTCGTGATCATCGGCAAACTATATCGTCAGCGGAACATTCAGCGGGGACGAGACCATGCGCAAGCGAAATCACAATCGCTCGATGCTGCGGGGCAACATGCGGGGGAGGGGGTGCTGTACAGATGATGCAGTCGAACAATAATAAAAGATTGTAGTGTTAGTTCATTCGTCTATACGATCCATTGTCATTTTCTCACCATTGCCATTTTGCACGAGTGGTCCGTACTCACCACTGTTACGTATCTGCGTGTGTATGTGTTAACGTTTCGTGTCGTGTCATTTATGTTTGTCACACGAAAGACGGATAAATAACGGCAGACGGTGAGGAGGGCCATTACAATATATTGCACAGTATTAGTTTGGCGTCTCTGATTGTTATATGTAACACAAGCACGGTATCGGGAGAGCCGTGGAAGCAACAACCACGTCAACAACGATTGTGTCCCAGAACAGATAACAAAGATTGTGGCCATTTACTGACGATGTAATAACGATTGCTAGCTCCTATTATTGGACCTTACATACACTGCTTTGCACGTCCTCCCTCGGCAGAATCATGATTACCGCATTCGGGAATAGTCAACCAGTTAAGGCTGTTTTCGATTCCCTTGTTGTCATCATCCCGCTGGTCAGGGGCAGAATATTTGTACCGGACTTTATCTTGATGTGGTGCATCAATTCATTGCCTACCAGAAAGTCTGGGTGGCTGAAACGAGTCGTATTCATACATTGTATCTATAACTCGTATCTATCCTTTCGCAACCGAAATCGTTGTCAGCGTTTAGTTAGTTCGGGTATTTAACTGATTTTCCTCTAGACAAGGACAAAGAATGGGGGTGTCATTATCTTAAAATAAATAAATAAATATAAAAATAGTTCATATAGTAAAGTAAATTCATACAATTCTATAACATAAAGCAGTACAGTTTTTGCTTATAGCACGTGTCATCCTTCTCTCCTTTGATCTCACTCATTCTTTCTCCTTATAGGAATATATTTTTTCTTTTATGTCATCACTCTTCACCATCCAATGATTTTTGTCAACAGTTTGGTTCCGCTTTGAAGGGTGAACAAGGAAGAAAATCATCCTTTGACAGCGGCGATGACATTGGTCAACACATAACGCATCAAGAAGGTCACTCCAGCTCCGGTTGGCGGCCGTCGAGCCCGAATAGTCGACAGTTGTTCTTGACGCCAATTATTACCACCACTTCGATGCTCCGGTCACTGCGACACGCGGCAGACTCTCGCGATCGATGAATTCGTTTTGTTACCACCCTTCCTTATACAGGCATCGATAAAGTCGCTCGGACCGACAGAAGGATCATTTTGTCATTCAATTCCTTCGATTTCTCTTTATCGTTTTTTCTTTTTCTCTCGTTTTTCTTCGCTCTCTTCCGCCGCCATCACTGGCGCTTTGACGGCTCGCGCATCGTCGTCCTTTATTTTGTCAAAAGACTGATGGATCGTTGCTGATGTAAATCGACAAATTGAGTCTTCAAGGCAACAACGAAGTGGTAGGGCAGTTCCTTGACAATAAACGTGTGTACGAATTGCAGACACGGCGCAGTGCACAGCGAAGCCTCACGCGGTTGTTGCCAACCGAACACGGGCAAGACAGCCTTGTCAGACAAACTTGTCATGCTATCGTTTGTAGCAGAGACAGATCTGACCCGGAGAGGAAGAAGAAGTTAGTTGGTGGGCGGGAAAGGGGAATAGGACTTTATCGGGATTTTGCCGCTTAACTGGTGGCTACCGGTCTTTGTGGATTTCTTGCCGCCCGTAAAAGACGATTAGATAGAAAAGCCTCCGTTTATTGTGTCTGTGTACGTAGAATGCTATTTTCGATTATAATCGGTTGCCCGTTTCGGTGGCAGCAGATGCACCGCGATACAGACATGCTGACGAATTACATGCAAAAATAAATTAGTATTGCTTCATTATCAGCACTAATCAAATACTATATACTTTTCAATAGAGGTACGTACGGGTTGGTAATACTGGAGAATCGTTTGCATAGATGGTTTTCCCTTTTTTTCTGCAATCTTATTGTGTAACACTGCAGCCATTAGTTTCAACGGAGTTGAAAGTGGGTGACGTGGCGCGTGAGAACTGAAATATCTGTATAGTAATTCTTAGAGCTAACCTAGAAGCGTTCGTGGTTGATTTGATACAGACTGTACCCAGCTGCCGATGCCGTTCCCACAGCGTTCTTATTCAGCAGCTGTTTCTTCTTCATGTGCAGGTCGTTCTTTCTGGTAACTTATTACCAGACAGAGTAAAAAGTCGCAAAGCGTTGAAAGCCTTTTCGTATTTTCCAGTTATTTAATGCTACGCTAAATAACTACAGATGAAATAACACCATCCGATGATACCTTATCGTTAGCGTCGTACGGCTCGATTCAGGAACCGAACAGAACAGAAAGCAAAGTAACAACTAATTAAAAAAACACCATCTTTACACCTAATGTTTCTTCGATCGGTGCCTATCGATCGGCGGTAAACAACGCGGAAACGTACTTTCTACGCTCGCATCATCCTGCAACACTGTTGACAATAGCGGCGTTTATTCTAAACTTTTTTTCATTTGATTTAATTGAAGATCTAAACAAATCTTACAAAGATACAATTTGACGCGGTTACGCAAACCGTATGCCTCGTTCGTATGTTGCAATCATAAAGTTTCAACGCGGCTACGGAAGCTCGTGACAGGATTATAAGTTAGCGACGAGAATCGCTAACTTATAATAACAACTTCAACGCAGACGCGTATAGACCAAAATAGCAACGTATTTTTAATACTATGTTAATAGTACCATCACCACCAACTGCTCGAACCCCTAGCCAGTCAACCAACGCTACCGTAATGAATGATCTCGTGCACGCAGTTGCCGCATTGACGATACATTGCATATTACCGACGAACGACTAGAAGGGACGCAGACGTGACAGAATATA